CCAAATTGATTATTGGACACCATGCTTATCACCGCCGGCTTGATTTCGTAACGGTTGGCAGTAATTCCCTGCACCTGAATGCTATCATACTCTGAAACGTTTGGTGTAAGGAATTCTGCAATGGTCTGACGCTGATAGAGTGGGTTATTGTGCGGTACATATGGATTGGGTGGAGGTGCCTGATGTCTAGGCTGGGGGGCTGGTTGTGGCTGAGTAGGTGGGACTTGGGTTTGATTTTGAAACTGATTGGGGTATGAATTTTGGTACTGGGTCTGATTTTGGAATGTAGGTTGATTGATGGGAGGTGGGTTCTGTCTCCGTTGGAAAACGGGAATACTCTGCCTTGCTCCTTGCATCCCATAAACTTGATTTTGAAAATTGGTTTCAGGAGCAGTAGGGGTATTTTGAAACAAATGATATAATGGAGGGAGATTGAATTGTGGTGAAGGCTGATTTTGGGAAAAGATCAGAGTGCGGTAATTTTGAAAACCTGGAGGGTTTCTAGGTGAAATTGGTGGTGAAGATTGGGGTGACGTGTTCACATAGAAATCTTGCTGAGATCTGGGGTTAGGGTTACCCGACATCCCTGCGGTTCCAGATGAAGACTGGTGGTCCATGTTATTATTTTTCTTTTGAGCCTTGCGGTTTTGTCTGGCGAGCTTTTCAATCTCAAGGTTAAGAGGGATTAGCTGTTCTCCCCTCTTAGAACGTGTATGCATAAACAGAGCTGACCTGCAAGGTTAGCAGAAAAAAATCCTACGAAAAACTAAAAACTAATCGCTGAGTAAAATTAACCCTTAAGACCGACACCGTCCCCGGCAACGGCGCCAAAAACTGATGTGAGTTTTCTCGCACTTAAAAAGATTGTAATATAGCGGTGAAAGTACGAGTATCGTCTCCACAGGGACGGTAAAAGGGAATTAAGAATTAACTAAAATAAGCGATAAAGAATAAATAAAACAAATGCGGTCATGCGAGAATTGATTGCTTTAGAAAACTAAAATTTCAAATAAATTACTAAAAGTAAATATTTGGGTTCTTCTTAATTAACGACGAAGGGAACAAGGATTGATTCCGGGGTAATCAGATTTCTGGCAGATCAGGCTTAATTACATGAATTTAATTTAATTGAGCCTACCTAATCAATACTAAGTTCTTACCGCTCTCGCGGCGTAGAATACAATAATTTAGGGGACCAGGCTGATCTCTCATGCGACAGGATCGTAAATTATTGCCAAGACGAACGAGCTTACGGCCCCTTAATCGCTACTAATCTCTTAGCGAATGATTAAGTGTGTGTGAATGTGTCCTAGAACAAATTAGATCTCTCTTAATTTATTCTATATGCAATTGTAATTCTAGTGGCCATTCTAGGTTACAAAAGATATCAATTAAATTATTCAAACAAAAATTAAACGGCAATCATGCAATTTACACCATCAAGAATCTAGCCATACATCATGATTAACCCCTTCATCAATCCCAAATCCCTGATTAAACTACTCACAATTCATAATTGAAGAATCAACAGAATTGGGAAGAATAGAATAAATTGTCATTAATTAAAAAGATGAACTTACAAATAATCCCAGAGTCTTGGAAGAAAATAGCGTAAAAACGGTGTTAAATTCTTCCCTAGGCCTCTCCGTAATGTTTGCCACCCTAAAAAGGGTTAGGGAGGCCTTATTTATACACAAGAGGGGAAAAATCACAATTCTGGTCGATGTGGGAAATTTCCGCGCGTAACTCGGGGCTACGCACGATCGTGCGTAGCAGGCAGTAGCTCCTCCACGGTTTTGGCTCTTACGCACGATCGTGCGTCCGTGTTATTCAGCCTTTTCTATAGTCCGAAGTTGACAAAACTTCCAAAGTTTTAGATAATGAAGTCCTCTATCCATCCCAACTTGCCGAATGTGATTTGAATCACCCAATCAAGAGATATGATCAAAACGGTGGAAGGTGTCATTCTGAAATCGCAGCAGAGATCATCTGACTTCGTCATCTGTTTTCACCTTCTTGCTCTCCTATTCTCGTAATGGTTTCTTCATATGATTTGTATCCCTTGAAGTTGTCTTTCATATACAACTTGAATCATGTCCATTAGTTGTTTCTACAAAGAGATATTCTTGAATGATTGACAGAAGGTCATCCTGATCGTCGTTTTCAAGCTTCATTCATCTTCTTTTGATCCCGAAGCCAATCCTAGAGCTCTTTTGTCATCAAATCTTCATCGTAAACCTCCCGCTGACCTCCATAGCTCTCAAATCAATCTCAAATGCTTTTCAACTCATCCCGATTTCTCCTCAATCGCCAGTGCCGAACTCTAAAATCCTGATTTTGACTCCAAATGACACAAAACTCGAACCAATGCCCGGTAAACATAACTTGAGCTAAAATTGAGACTTGTAACACCTTAAAGCTAGGGAAAACCATCAAACCCGATCCCAACACGCATCAAATACATGTCTAAATACGGACTTATCAACCATCATATCATCCCCCCAAATCAAAGATGAAGTCATGAAGCCACAGATACTAACTGTTTTCTTAGCCGAAGAAGATATTTTTCCGGTGAGCTTTGCCTTCCGGTGGCCGAGGACGTAGGCAAATCTTCATCTCCATGTTAACCAACAGCACATCTGGTTCATATCCGTAGGTCTCAAACCCCACCTTTTCGCACCAAATCCCCATGCCAGACCCATTCACCTCCGTTACACACCCCCATCTCAAGCTAGTATCTGGCATTACTAACTGTCAGCGACGGTGACTCAGCACTTTCTGGCGAGATCTTAAACCATTGGACAACATCCAGTAAACCATGCTCCATTAGATCCAAGAACGAATTACAGTAACGAGAATCAAACTACCCAAGAGAAAGGGCAATAACAATTCAACCTAACAGCCTCACAAATACCACCGAAGTGGTGGAGGAGTTTTCCAAAAATGACCATAGCACCTAGCTAGGAGGGCCCCGGCGGGGCCGCCACCGTGAGTGGTGGTGCCGACCTGAAAAAGAACCGGTGGGGAAGAATCTGGCCGCGAATGGCTAGAGAGAGACACTCTCGACTTCCCAACCCCACTTAGCTCTTTGGGAGTGCCTGCTATAACATGTTTCATTATATCACTAGAGGCAAAAGAATAAATTAATGGAAAGTCCCTGAAATGGAATTAAATAAGTAAGGAATGAAATTGCCAAATCAGTAATATGCAATTCCAAAATTGCTGAGTTTGGAAAATTATGTCATATTTAAAGTCTGATATTGCCAAATCGTGGCAATAATTACTTTTACTTTGAGAATAAAAGCATGCCAATTATATTTTGAAACTTATAAAAGTTTTTAATCATATTTCGTGCAATTCCTCATAAACTATTGGATTCTTCCTAGTGTGGTTATGTTCCTTACTGATTTCATAATATTGAGGGAGATAAGTAATTTATCAAAGCTATGTGTATTGAATTTTCGTTAACAACGTTTCTTCTCTAATATTTTATCCCTTTACTGTGTCCCAATTAGTCTTTCAAAGCTTTGAAATTCCATGTGTTATCGATATACATGCACTAGGGACAATTTGGTGATATTCGTCATTCCTCAAATATGACTAAAACAGTGAAAAAATGCACAAATAGAACCTTCATATTTTATAGGACTAAAAATGAACATACTTTACAAAATTACCCTTAATGAATTTGTAAATCTATTTACAATTAAAATGAAATGAAGACTTTCTAAAACCCTAATTTCCACAGCCGCATCGAGCATTCAAGGAGTCATTATCCCCACTTCAATTCCTCTGCCGCCACTTCAATCCTGCTGCCGCCACTTCAATCCTGCCGCTGCCACTTCCAGGAATGTTACGCCGGGCACCATCGCCACCATCACTTCCGGCTTAGCAATGCCGACCCATCGCCGTCGTCGCTTCGAGCACCACCGATGCCGATTTTGATGAAAAAATGTCATGTTGCTGCAACAAAAGGGACATTTTATTAAAAATGAACATAATATTGGCAATTCCTTTAATTAAATTTAGCAATTTATCGAAGAAAACAATATTTTTATGTCATATTTTATTTAAAAAGAACATAATATTCACAATTCCTTTAATTAAATTTGACAGTTTGTCAAACAAAACAATATTTTTTTGCCATAATATCAAATGCAAATCTGCCATAGAGTTGACACTATTTTCAACTCGATGTGAAAATACAAAATTTCTGCCAGAACATTTCACACGAAAATGCCAAATATTTGGCAAAGCAAGAACCCAATATCCAAAATCAGCAAAACCAAAGTTTAAACAGAAATCGGAAATTTATTAAAATCAGAAATCATAACTACGAAATCAATGCCCAGAAAAGAGATAAATCGATGACAAAACTCAAAACTTGAATGAAATAAAAAAGTTCTACCAAAACCAATAAAATCAGTGATAATTTGATTTTTAAACGAAAAACGGAGAGAAGAAGAAGAACAGAGAAGAAGAAGCAAACCTAGAAGAAGGGAAGTGGTGATGGAAGCATTGCAGGACGGCGAGAGTGAAAGAAGGGGGTCTTGATATGGAGAACCAATGTCTTGACAGTAGCATTGTCTAGGGTTTGATACTCCCTCCGTCCAATAAAAGTTAGCCAAATTTCCTTTTTTAGCCATCCCGAAAAAAGCTTGCCAATTCCATTTAAAGTAAGGAATATGTGTCTAAAGTTATTTCTCTCTCCTCTGCACAAATTTCAACCACACAATTTTTACTTTATTAATCTACGTGTAAGACAACTTTGGCCAAGTTTTTTGGGACGGATGGAATATTATATAAAAGGGCATTATGATTATCCGGAGTCTTGTGGAATTAAAAACATGTAGTCCTATTTAGGGAATTAAGTTTAATTTTAGTCGACAATTACTATTTTCGTTAATCCCTGATTCTAAGATGATCCCCTTTTTTACTGTCGATCTTATTTTCGTTCAGTTTAGCAAATTCACTGTACCGATCTTGTTATTTTGCTTCAGACTTCACTACACTCGAGTTCTATTGGGTTCAGCGCCATTGGAATTCCACGTCCAGATAGACACTGGCAGTGAAATTTCATGGGTCAGTTGTGCATCGTGCAATGGCTGTCCACTATCTAGCGGATTTCTGGTATAATTGCAGTCTTTTTTCCCTTTTCAATTTCCCAGAATTTAAGTTTGCTGTTATCATTAAATTAAAATTTGACTGACCTAAATTTCTTTTGCAGTTCCACCTTCAATTCTTCAACCCGCAAGGCTTCTCTACATCTTCATTTATCCCATGCTCGGATCATCGGTGTGCGTCCCACAACCCTGGATGTTCAAGCAGTAATAATATATGCAAATACAACATTACATATGGAGATGGTGGGGAGATAGCAGGTTACTACATTGCGGACAACATTCATTTGGTTATGATTAATGGTAATAAATCTGCTTCAAATGTGATCCCCATTGTATTCGGGTGAGCCTTTTATTGTTTTATGTTTAACCAATAAATTTCGATATTCCGATGTTACAAGCTTTTCAATTGGTAGTATTTTGTTTACGGCGTAAGTTGTGATATGACAGGTGTAGTACTTATCAGCTCGGATATTTGACACAAAGCAACCTAGCACTTGATGGGATCTTCGGGTTTAATCGAAATAAAATGTCCATTATCTCGCAGCTCTCCTCCGAAGGTGTCGTCCCAAAAGTATTCTCCCACTGCCTAAAAGGTGGAGAGGGCAATTTTTTTTGTGCTTGGTGAGGCAGTCGGGTTGAATCTCATGTGGACTCCCCTCGCTCCACCCAAGTATGTATCTTGTTCCTTCAATTTCATAAGCTAGATGTTCCTTTGAGATTCAAACATGCACTCGTGGTTTACTCTCATGTGTACAAAATGTTCATTATCACCTTTATACTACGTATATAATTATATTTTTCCTTTATTAAGAGTGCTACCCAACCTCAAATGAGTGGCACACTATTAAGAGTATTACTCGACCTCTATGAATGTTTACTTTTGTCTAAATGACATTTTATGGTAGCGCATGTCCTTTCCAGTAGAGCTAGATTATGAGAAATAGGTGTACACCCACTACTACAAAAAATACTTTTTGAGTCGCATATAAAGTTATAAACTTCCTTTACGCATCGCTTTAGAAGCGATGCAAAAACCACCGATGCATAAAGTAACGTGTATATTGCATCACTCTTTAAGCGATGCAATAACTAACTTTACACCTCGCTTATTTTAATGAGGCGACTCTAAAAGTTTTTTTTCACATTTACTATATGCATCGCTTTTAAAGTGTAGGCTGACTCATAAAGTTTTTGTTTAAAATGAAATGAAGTGGAGGGGGGAGGGGGCTACTGGCCTAATGCTAATGTACCTCCAAGCTCCACCGAATGCAAATTACTACAAAATTAAAGTCTATAATTACACAAACTGGAAATTCACTGTCATCACTCTATTGCTCAAATCATTAAGGTTTACACTAGTCATCACAATGAAGCAAGTAATATACAAGACCTTAGAAATAAGCACAAACCATGTCTTAATTATACTACACACATTGATTACTAAAGCATCTAGCCCAAGTATCTTTAATCTCATCTGATTGCTCTTGTGAATATGGTACTGGAGGAAGAAGCTGCCTACAAAATAATGAACTTTGCATCAGTACTTTTGGATTACATTATTTCTGTCACAAAGATATATGTCAGAATTACGGGAGTTACGGGTGTTTCATGCCTCCATTCCCAAAATACGAATGTCTGAATTAGGGTACCCATTTACGGGAAACGGAGTTGGCTAATCCGACTTTTCCTAGGGTTTTGCATGCTGTCAGAATCTCTTCTTTCGGATTCTCCTAATCCGATTTTGGGTTTTATTTTGGGTGAAAAACGGATTTAGTGAATCCGAAATGTTCAAAACCAAAAAAAAGAAATCGGATGTCAGGAGTGTAAGCCATGTTGTCAGGAGTGGTACTGTGGCAATGAAATTCGGATTTCCCTAATCCGAAATATGAATCTCCCGGATTGGCCAGAACAAGTTTACCCGGATCGTGCTTCTTCAGCTCATTTTTCAACCGTAGGATTTAACAGACTCATCCCAATTGTCCATTGTTTTGCACGGAAATCCATACTCCCAATCTCAAACTTAACCTATTTAAATCACTTCAACATCATATTCAGCCTACTACCATAAAAATAAATTTAGTTACAAAAAACTATTGAGTGTTCTTGCTAATTCTATTCTCCGAGTTTTTCAAAGAAAGGTTAGATGAATTTTAATTATATATTTACTCTTTACCGTTAATTTTTTGTACTGGTTGTGTTATGTCAGCCTGAATATTTCGAAAATCTTAATATTAATATGTAATTAATCTTAATTGCTATTAAGATTGTTGATATATGTCATACTAAATATATAACAATAGAAATAATTAGCCCACAACTTATAATTATTTGTAGTGTTCCCTTTACAGTAGTTAATTTATGTTGATAATGTAAGAACATTTACTGTTTTTCAATTACTCTAATTATTGGTTCACTAATATTTGTTACTAATGTATTAAATACTCCCACTGTCCCATAAAATTCTTCCCACTTTTTTTTGGACCGTCCCAAAAAATTCTTCCCACTTACCATTTTTGGACAATTTGTGTGGTTCACATTTATTTGACCTTTTTCTTACACAAATACAACCACACATTTCCACTTTATTCCACTTTCTTAATCTCCGTGTGATGTTAAAGTGGGAAGAATTTTCTAGGACAGAGGGAGTACTAAATTAGTGTATATGGTAATTTGAGACTACGTTGCGATTACAATTTAAATTTAGTTTAGTTAGTTGAACATTTTAATTTAGTCATCACTACTTATTTCCAAATAACATTATACTACGTAATATAATTTAGTTCATACTCCGTAACATTTATTATAATTGAGCCATAAAAGCGAACATAAATTATAATTACACTATACCGGTAAAATTTTCACAAGCTCATCTAGAACTAGTCCTTTTCTAGTTTCTGGCAAATGTTATGTCTAGAACTAGTCTTTTTCTAGTTTCTGGCACAGTGAGAATATTACTCAATGACAAGTCTAAAATTTGTATCAGTACATATAATATAATTGCACTAGACTAGTACGATTTTCACAAGCTCGTCTAGAACTAGTCCTTTTCTAGTTTCTGGCAAATGTTATGTCTAGAACTAGTCCTTTTCTAGTTTCTGGCACAGTGAGAATATTACTCAGTGACAAGTCTAAAATTTGTATCGGTACATATAATATAATTGCACTATACTGGTACGATTTTCACAAGCTCGTCTAGAACTAGTCCTTTTCTAGTTTCTGGCAAACGTTATGTCTAGAACTAGTCCTTTTCTAGTTTCTGGCACAGTGAGAATATTACTCAGTGACAAGTCTAAAATTTGTATGGGAACATATAATATAATTGCACTATACTGGTACAATTTTCACAAGCTCGTCGAGAACTAGTCTTTTTCTAGTTTCTGGCACGGTGGTAATATTGTTCAGTGGATAAGCCCAATATCAACCGTACATATATTATAATGTAATACATAAGACTGATATAGTTTCATTGAAAGTTTATGTGTAATTTATAATTTCATTTAATAAAACACGTCATTATAATATACATACACACACATATATAACACTAATATATGACTCTTATTGTCAGTTGAGATACGAATGGCTGCACAAATACCACTTATGGATCCGGTTGATTGGTCTGTGCTGGTGATGCCACGTTACGCGCATCGAGCGGACCTTGTCTGGAATGATGCTACATCCATGGATGACAAGTTGAGGTGTAATGTATATTGTTCAATGGTGTACAAAGACGGCCCGCGTCACCCGGGAGTGGTAGCGTTGCTGAAGGCCTCCGGCTTTTACGGCGTCGACTGCATCGGAAGGTTGCAGTTAGACTGGTCGCTTATTACGGCGTTGGTTGAGCGATGGAGACCAGAGACACGCTTTTCATTTGCCTTTTGGTGAGATGGGCATCACCTTACAGGACGTAGAAGTGTTGTTGGGGTTGCCCATCGACGGAGAACCACTGTCCGGACCTAGGACGAACTCGAAAGCACTTTGGATGCAAATGTGCACGGACTTCACCGGTTTCACGCCAAACAACAACGACTTAAACACATCTGTAATAAGAATGAATGCCCTACAACGTTGGCCGGTACATCAGCACAGCACAAATGAGGAACTCATCACATACACGAGGGTGCTCATTTGGCAACTACTAGGTGGGTTATTGTTCCCCTCCACTACCGGGAACAAAATAAAATTGTACTTTTTAGAGTTGTTGCAGGGACCGCTCGGTGAAGCACAACGGTGGAGTTGGGGCTCAGCAGTATTGGGGTTCCTGTATTACAACATGTGCAAGGCCGCCAAAGCGAACAGGAGAAATATTGGGGGATGCTTGCTTCTATTGCAGATTTGGGCGTGGGAGAGATTGTCCATGGTGCGGCCGCGAAACGTTTTGCCATATGAGAATCTACAGGATATGCCCTATGGGTGCAGGTATAATTTGAAATTTTACATAATAAGTATTAGTATATTAAATATATTTGTAGGTCATGGTATAATAACTTATTTTTATGAAGGTGGGCATGTCGCCACAATTGGGAACAAAGTTCTCGGTATACTCTACGTATTTATCGAGATCAGTTGGACGGGATCCGAGAGAACGAGGTTATAATTAACAATATCATTTTAGTTTAATAGAAAATAAATATGTTTTTAAATTAACTTCAAATAATATTGATCCAGTTCGTGTGGCTCTCATACGCATTACAAGCCCTCCCCAGGTTCTGCGTCGCGGGGGTAGATTTGTGGACATCTAATGTCATGCTTATATATTGTGACATTTCTGAGATGTACTACCCCGGTAGATTTTGTCGTCAATTCGGTGCAATGCAACATATTCCTCCCGCAGCGGAATCACAAGCTAGCCACCATGCAAGTGGTGCAAAAAATTCTGGATGGCCATTGACACTATGGGCGGCGAGGCACAATCGTCGTATCGCAATTGAGTTCGTTGATCATCCCACCTACACTCCTGCATACCGTGAATGGTACGCAGATGTCGGGAAACGACGGATTTGCAATCCGTTACATGGTCGGCCTACAACGGGTTATGTAACTACTAACAGGGAGACAAGTACACTAGTAAGTATTTTATGTGTAATTATTCAACTTAGAAATGTTTATTATTATTTAATAACTTTACTTTTGAATTTTAGATGCAATGTATGGGCGATAACTATCGGCGCATGGCAGCTCCATTTGACGTCGAAGACATCCGCGAGCAAATTGCACGATGCCTTACAGGATTAGGTGCCGAGAATGTGCTTCATCAAGACATCATTTTCTATGGGGATGCCCATGATGATGCAGTGGATGATCATCCTCCACTTCGGAAAGACCGTAGAAGAGTCGCGGCCACTAGAGGTCGGCGTTACGGACGCGGTTATGTTGCTCCACACGTCCACAATGATGATGGTGATGATGATAATCACGATGATGATAATGATGATGACGAGGAGGAGAAAGAGGATGGCGAAGATGGTGGTGAAGAAGAAGAAGAAGGACAACCATCTTCACATATTCATTCACACATCCCTTCCCCATCTCATGTACCTAATCATCACTCTACACCGACTAGTGCATACATTCCGACGTTTGATGCGCCATCGTTTATTCCACATGTACAGCCTACATATGAGACATGTCCGACCTTTTTAAATTCACCAATTGATTGGTTGAACAACTTATTAGGATCACATGTACATAGTGGGGTGGGGCAAGAAGCAGGGCCAAGCACACAACCGCCAATTGAACATAGGCCGAGACGGGATATACATTCTCGACGTTGTGGGACAGGGAGTCACTTCGTGATGCCAGATCGACACTATGAATCTGATGAATCAGAATAGTTGTATGTAATTAGTTTTATCAATTATGAATTGAATTTGTACTTTTAAATTATCAATCGAATTTGATATTATGTTATTATTATCAGATACTTTTACTATTACGTTTCAATAATTCAATGATTCAATTGATAATTTTGAATTAAGTTATCAATTGAATTTGTAATTTGTAGTAATTTGTAGTAATTTGTAGTCCTAAACCCACTTGCAATCACTTATTGTTCGAAATAATTTCAACCACTTCTCCCAACCACTTGCACCCACCTAAACCCACTCCCAACTATCAATAATTTTGATCTAAAAAAAATATTTCGGGTACAAAACTGTACAGATTCCACTCAATTTAAATTAAATCAATCAACTTTTAATTTTTCTGACAGATTCCCCGTCAATTCGGGAATCAATACTACTACACAACATTCAATTTTTTTTCAACCACTTATTATTCGAAATAATTTCAACCACTTCTCCCAACCACTTGCACTCACCTAAACCCACTCCCAACTATCAATAATTTTAATCTAAAAAAAATATTACGGGTACAAAAGTGTACAAATTCCACTCACTTTAAATTAAATCAATCAACTTTTAATTTTTCTGATAGATTCCCTGTCACTTCTAGAATCAATAATTCTACAAAACATTCAATTTTTTTTCAATCACTTATTGTTCGAAATAATTTCAACCACTTCTCCCAACCACTTGCACCCACCTAAACCCACTCCCAACTATCAATAATTTTAATCTAAAAAAAATATTCCGGGTACAAAAGTGTACAGATTCCACTCACTTTAAATTAAATCAATCAACTTTTAATTTTTCTGATAGATTCCCTGTCACTTCGGGAATCAATAATTCTACAAAACAATCAATTTTTTTTCAATCACTCATTGTTCGAAATAATTTCAACCACTTCTCCCAACCACTTGCACCCACCTAAACCCACTCCCAACTATCAATAATTTTAATCTAAAAAAAATATTCCGGGTACAAAAGTGTACAGATTCCACTCACTTTAAATTAAATCAATCAACTTTTAATTTTTCTGACAGATTCCCTGTCATTTCGGGAATCAATAATTCTACAAAACATTCAATTTTTTTTCAATCAGTTATTGTTCGAAATAATTTCAATCACTTCTCTCAACCACTTGCACCCACCTAAACCTACTCCCAACTATCAATAATTTTAATCTAAAAAAAATATTCCGGATCGTACAAAAGTGTACAGATTCCACTCACTTTAAATTAAATCAATCAACTTTTAATTTTTCTGACAGATTCCCTGTCACTTCGGGAATCAATAATTCTACACAACATTCAATTTTTTTTCAACCACTTATTATTCGAAATAATTTCAACCACTTCTCTCAACCACTTGCACCCACCTAAACCCACTCTCAACTATCAATATTTTTGATCTAAAAAAAATATTTCGGGTACAAAAGTGTACAGATTCCACTCACTTTAAATTAAATCAATCAAGTTTTAATTTTTCTGACAGATTCCCTGTCACTTCGGGAATCAATAATTCTACACAACATTCAATTTTTTTTCAACCACTTATTATTCTAAATAATTTCAACCACTTCTCCCAACCACTTGCACCCACCTAAACTCACTCCCAACTATCAATAATTTTGATCTAAAAAAATATTCCGGGTACAAAAGTGTATAGATTTCACTCACTTTAAATTAAATCAATCAACTTTAAATTTTTCTGACAGAGTCCCTGTCACTTCGAGAATCAATAATTCTACACAACATTCAATTTTTTTTCAATCACTTATTGTTCGAAATAATTTCAACCACTTCTCCCAACCACTTCTCCCAACCACTTGCACCCACCTAAACCCACTCCCAATTATCAATAATTTTGATCTAAAAAAATATTCCGGGTACAAAAGTGTATAGATTCCACTCACTTTAAATTAAATCAATCAATTTTGTATTTTTCTGACAGATTCCCTATCACTTCGGAAATCAATAATTCTACACAACATTCAATTTTTTTTTCAACCACTTATTATTCGAAATAATTTCAACCACTTCTCCCAACCACTTGCACCCAAATACTCATAACTACTATTATTAAAGAAATTACACACACCTTTCCTACGAAGTACTAATTTTTTTTTACTATAAAAGGCTCATCATTATCCTCAGTCACCATATTCTTGCTATCTATTTATCACCTTAGAGTTCGTAGCTATCTATCATCAACTCCCTATATTTCCTACGATATTACTTACCATATACAAAAAATGGCAACTGAGCATAACACTCCAGTTTGTGTCCACTAGAATGGTTCTATTATTATGAAAGATGATGAAGTAGAGTATTCCATTCCTCCGAGCGCCAGCGCTGTTAATCAGCAATGACGATGGCTTTAACGCTATAAATGAGCGGATTGTCGAAGAGTGTGCGCAGAGAGGTTTTGGAGAAATTGTATCCATTCACGGAAAATTACCAAAGTACAAAAATCGTGTGTATGTGGCATCAAGACTGTGGCCCATCCATGATGATGATACTTGGAAGCACTTTTTCCGACTTGCTGAAAGAGAGTATGGAGAATTACATATTTTCCTGGATGCCCGAAGAACCTCTATAGTCCAACCACAAATATCAACATATGGAGGAGGTGACACCCACAATTGTGAAACTTTTCACAATATTCACTCCAACGATGACGGACCATCAACGAGATACGGCGGACGCTACAACGACGATGGCTTTAACGCTATAAACGACGGACCATAAACTTGTCTCGTCCGTTGCCCTCCTTGGCGTAGTACGGTAGCACCATAGGATGTTGGGGAGCTCATCGGCCCAACTGCCTCCTGCATCCTGGAGCTTCTTCTTCAGGCCCTCCAGGATGGTTCTGTTGGCGTTCTCGACCTGCCTGTTGACTTGAGGATAGGCAACGGAGGAGAAACGATGCTTGATTCCCCACTCATGGAGGAGCTCTTGAAAGGGCGCGGCCTCGAACTGGGTACCGTTGTCGGATATGATCTCATGAGGGACGCCGAAGCGGGTGAGGATGTTTCTGTGGACGAATCTCTGACACCTGGCCCCTGTGATACTGGCCAAAGGTTCCGCCTCAACCCATTTAGTGAAGTAGTCTACGGCGACGATGATGTATTGATTGTTGCCAGCGGCTCTAGGCAGGGGGCTGACGGGGTCAATACCCCATCTTGAGAATGGGATCGCTGTGCTGACCGGGGCGTAGTTGACGGCTGGCCGACCAGGAGCTTTTTGAAGGACCTGGCATGCGGTACACTTTCTTGCCGGATTGGCACAATCCCGCGCCATCGTCGGCCAGAAATAGCCCTGGACGACGAGACGCCGGGACATGCTGAAAGGGCCCTGGTGGGAGGAGCAGACGCCACAGTGGATTTCCTCCATGGCCACTACAGCCTCATCTGGGTGCAGACATCGGAGGAGAGTGCCGTTGTAAGATCTTTTATAAAGTTTCCCATCCTCGATGGTGTAACTCGGGGCCCTGAGTTTTGCTAGCTTGGCTCTCTCCTCGTCCTGGGGCAATTCTCCCGACGTGATGAAAGTCATGATGTCGGTGATCCAGTCTTCCGGCCGCTGTTGGATGCACGCGACCGGGCTGGCATGGATGCTAGACATGCTCAGCTCTTCGACCTTGGCTATCTTGGAGATGTGCTCTGGAGTGTCTGAGCTGAGCTTGGAGAGGATGTCGGCCTCAGCATTCTCCGCCCTTGGGATCTGGGTGATCTCATGGGTTTCGAATGCCTTGAGCAACTCCTCGACCGCCTGCTTGTATTGCCTCATCCTCCCCTCTTTAGCCTCGTATGAGCCCTCGATCTGGCCCACCACTAGCTTGGAGTCGCATCTGATTTTGATGTGTCGTGCTTTGAGGCCGGCGGCGATTCTGAGGCTGCTGAGGAGGGCCTCATACTCGGCTTCATTGTTGGATACTCTGAAGTTGAAGCGGATGACATAGTATGCTCTGAACCCTTCAGGGGAAATGAGGAAGACACCGCCACCACAAGCTTTGGTGGCCGACGAACCATCAGTAAATAGGGTCCATGCTTCGTCTGGCTCTGGCCCTGGTGTGGTAACGGCCGTCTCCCTTGTTGTGCATTCGGTGACGACGTCGTCCAAGGCCTGCCCCTTGATGGATGGCCCCGGCTTAATCTCTATCTTGAACTGGCTGAGGAAGATCGCTCATTTCACCATTCAAGAGGAACTGGTGGGGCTCCGCATGAGTGCGACGAGGGGCTGCTGAGTTAAGACATGGACGGCGTGGGCCTGGAAGTAGTGCCCTAGTTTCTTCACTGTATGGACGATGGCCAGTACCGTCTTCTCAATGGGTGTGTACCTGAGCTCTGCCTCCCACAACGTCTTGCTCGTGTAGAAGATTGCCTTCTGTACCCCCTCGTCCTCGCGGATGAGTACGGAGCTGACGGCCGACGATAAGTATAGGAAGAGCGTTTCACCGGCTTTGGGATTGGAAAGCACGGGCGGGGACGATAAGTACTGCTTCAGCTCCTCAAACGCTTGCTGGCATTCCGTCGTCCATCTAAAGCCATTTGCCTTGCGCATGATCTGAAAGAAAGGGAGAGACCTTACAGCCGATTTTGAGAGGAAACGGTTCAGGGCCGCAAGGCGTCCCGTTAGCCGTTGTACCTCCTTCACATTTCGCGGTTGCTCCATGTTGACAATAGCCTGTATCTTCTCTGGATTGATCTTAATGCCCCTTCGGCTGACCATGTAACCGAGGAACTTTGCCCCTTGGACGCCGAAGGTGCACTTCTTTGGATTTAGGCGGAGCTGGAACTTCTTCATTATCTCAAAAATTTCCCGGAGGTCGTCGACGTGGCTAACGGATTGCCTGCTCTTGACGATCATGTCGTCGACATATACCTCCATCATTCGGCCGAGGACTGCTCTGAAGACCTTGGCTACCATTCTGGTGTATGTGGCGCCTGAGTTCTTGAGCCCAAAGGCCATGACGAGGTAGCAGAAAATTCCCTCCGGGGTCATGAAGGCCGTCTTCTCGGCGTCATCTTCATGCATGAATATCTGGTGGTACCCCCTGAAGGCATCAAGGAACGACATCAACTCGCATCCCGCCGTCTCGTCCACCAGTTGGTCAATGTTGGGGAGAGGGAACGGGTCCATGGGGCACGCCTTGTTCAGGTCAGTGTAATAAACGCACATTCTGAACGTCGGCGGCTTCTGTGCATGGACGACGTTGGCCAACCAGGTGGGGTACTTCACCTCCTTAATGTGGTTGATGGAGAGGAGCATGGTAACTTCCCCCTTGACGAAGTCACGTCTGTCGGCCGAGAGGTAGCGCTGCTTTTGCTTGATCGATGTGGAGGCGGGATCGACTGACAGCCGGTGAGTGATCACTTTTCGACTGATGCCAGGCATGTCGTCCGCCCCCCACGCAAAAATGATGGCATATGACCGCAGGACGCTGAGGATGCCTTCGCGTTGATCCTACGGGAGTTGTTTCCCGATTTTCAGGACCCGCTCTGGCCGGGAGATATCCAGGGGGACCTCCTCGACCTCATCGGCTGGCTCAGCGTGCGGCCTTTCCTCATCCTTGGAGACGGCTGCAGTGATGGTGTCAATTCTCTGCCCGACGCTGGCTGTCGGCTTGGTCAGTTTTAGGTAGCACGCCCGTGCTATCTTCTGGTTCCCTCGGGCGTAGTCGATACCACCGCTAGTGGGGAACTTCAGGCATAAATGTTTCATGGAGATAATGGCTTCCAAATCCTCCAGTGTTGGCCGCCCCCATATCAAGTTGTGGGCGCACTCAAGGTTGACCACCATGAATTCCATGTCGATCTTGATGTGATGGGAGCCGTCGCCGACCTCCACGGGGAGGACTATTGTGCCCTCGGCATCGATAGAGTCCCCGGTGAAGCCGGACAACGGTGTCCGTATCGGCTTGAGTAGTGCTCTGTCCAGCTTGAGCTGCCTGAATGTGTCAAGGTACATGACGTTGACGGAGCTCCCCGTGTCAATGTAGGTGCGGTGGATGATGGAGTCGCCTATTTCGCACCGGATGACGAGGGCGTCCCTGTGTGATGCGGGCCCAGGAGGCAGATCCTTGTTGGTGAAGGTGATCGCCTCTGCCCGTTGTTTCTTCGGCTGGGGGCGTGGGAAACCTCCCCGATGTAAAGGGATTGGGCCCATTTCTTCCTCTGAGTGGCCGAATCCCCCCCAGTGTTACCCCCCACAATGAGGTTGATGTGGTTCTTCTTCGGAGGGTGCTCTTCGAAGTCTTCGTCGTCATTGTTGAGCCTGTCGATCTCACGCTTCTTCGTAGAGGGTTCGCCTCCATGTTTGCCGGTGTTTACCCACGTGTTTTTGCGCGGGCCACCTTTAACAAACCAGAAAATTCCCCGTGACGAATCAGCTTCTCGACGTGCCTCTTCAGAGTGACACAATCGTATGTGTTGTGGGAGGTGTTCCGGTGATAACGGCAGTAGGTGCTGCCCTGGTGGATGGCGTAGATCTCCTTTGCCGGCCGAGGATCTCGCTCAATGAGGTAATGCTTCTCGGCGTAATCGAGGATGGTGCAGACCGAGTGGGTAAGTGGTGTCTCCGGCCTCTCCATCCTTGGCCGCCATATGCGGTCTTTGTTCTTTCCGCCAGATCCATGACGGCCATGTCCTCCCTGACCTCGGCCCCCGGCCGAGGGTGCTCCTGCAGCTGGCGCAACATTCGTCTTCTTGGAGGGGTGCCCTTCGTCTTTCTTGTGGATGTGAAGCTCGTCGGCATCAACGTATAAGTTCCCTCGCTGAAGCGCCTTTAGATAAGACCTCGAAGGGTCAGTGATGAGGCTCCTTGCATATGGGGTGCTGCGGAGGGCCCCCTGGAAGAGTACGAGGAGGGTGCGCTCATCGCCCCCCTCGACCTTATCAGTCTCCCTCGTCCAACGGTCGATGAATGACCGGAGTGATTCGTCTTGTTGTTGCTTGACGGAGAGAAGATGGGTAAAGTATTTCTTCGTGCGCTTCCTTCCGGCAAAGTGAGTGAGGAAGCATTGGGCAAGGTCTTGCCACGAGTCTATGCTCCCCTCGGGGAGTGCATTGAACCACTCATACGCTGGCCCTTCGAGAGTGGAAAGGAACCAGCGGCAGAGGTATTCATCCGACGCGTTCACCATCAGCATGTTGTTCTGGTAGCGGCTGAAGTGCTCCTGGGGGTTGGAGCGGCCGTCATAGGGCTTGATGGCATTTCCCCGGTACTTCTCGGGGATAGGGGCTGAGAGTACCTTGGCGGTGAAGGGGGTCCTCGTCCTGACCTGGATGATGGGGTCCCCTCGTCCTTCGGCCAACTCCCTTTCAAGGATAGTGACCTTGTTCAGAAGGGCGTTGAAGTCGCGATCTCTGGATGAGTTGTCGGTGGGCGTGGCGGCCAGCTGTTTGGCCTCCATCTGGGCGAGCCTCCGCTCGAGTGGGGCGATCACCTCATCCCTGGGATCCTTGGCGGCCATAGTGGCGCCCTGGGTTTGCAAGCGCGCTGCATGAGCCATGTTGATTTGATGACGGGCATCATCCTCATGCAGTTTCCCCTTGCCTTTGTCCAGGTGGGGCCGATCCGCTGTCCGGGATACCGACCCCAAGCTTTCCCTGGGTGAGACAGGCTCATGCTGCCCAATCCGCTCCGCCATCCTCTCCGAAGCAGGTCGACGGCACGTGTCACCTAGCCTGTTAAAGGCTGAGGCTTTTCCACGCGCTGGGGTCGGTCCAGCTCGAAGAGGGGAAGCAAGGTGGGAGTGGGATGATGTCGTGTCCTGGGGCACCACCTCCTCATCGTTGCCTAGCCTGACGGCCAATGGTTGGGGCTGAGGAGGCGGCGGCGTGTTCTCCCCCGTCCCTGGCATGAGTGCGCTGAGGACGGTGGGGTTCTGGGCCAAGCTGGCGATGATGGCCGTAGGTCCCCTGCGAGGTCGATGGCTTCCTGGAAGACATCTCCCCCGGCGGCCTTGTCGGCCGTAGCGTCCTCCTCGTGCTCTTGGTTCTCATGTGTCTCTGGGATGGTCTTGCTGAGGAGGTTGCGGTTTGACTTAGTTCATCCCATTGTCAGTTAGCTGTGCTTGGTAGCGACGAAGGAGGCTAACTTGATTGTTCTAGCTCTCAACGAGAGCACCAAATGATAGACTATAAGTCTAGAGAGAAGTGAGAGCTAGAGAGAGAAGTAGTATATTTGCTTTGTATTAATGAATTCTGAACCCTTACAACCACTCCCAGAGGGAGTATTTATAGGAAAAATTAGGGCTGGGTCCACAAGTCTTGGGCTTGGGAGGCCCGTTTACAATAGGGCCACTAATGGGCCGGATACAAAGTACATAGAAAAGATTAAGTATAAAGCCCTATTCTGGAGGCCATTTGTGGCCCATGAGGGCACGGCCGACGAGGGCGTGGCCGACGAAGACCCGGCCGACGAGATCACCGGCTCTTCATGGCTTCTGGATCATGTTCTGAGTAGACTTCTTCTCGGCCGATGAGGGTCATCTGGCCGACGAGGGTCCCACCAGGCGGTCGTGGTACCTTCTGTTCTTCCGAGTATGTGGGCCCTGGGGTCCAGGCCCATATACTCCATCAATTTCATATGCCATATATCGTTATACTAATAAAAAAACTCTAAGGTGTGCAATAATGACATGAGATCGATAGTCGAATCTACTGTACAAACGTTGTCTACAATATCAGTAATTCTTTCCAATAATGGTACATCGTACCTTTTCATGTGAGAAATTTAAAGCCCGTTTGGTGACTCATATTACCGACTTATTAATCTTATAAGTAAATATTTTCATCAAACATGCAACTTTGGAATTCGCACGCTAGTTGTGTAATAATCAAGCGCTGAAGTTATTTAAGATGACTATTTTAGCTACTCCATATGTCGTCCTAACTTTGTCCCGTTTTACCTTTTTCGTCTGTCCCATTAAATTTGTCACATACCATATTTGGAAATATTTGAGTGTTTAGAATTGATTCTTACTTTATTCATTCTTTTTCTTAAAAACCACACTACACCCGTTTGTCTCAAACTTAGGGGGACGGAGGTAGTGATATAATTTTCTATTACTCAGCACGTTGAATTACGCAATAATAAGAAAAAATAAGGTTGAAGTCACTTTTCTGACTGAAGTTATTGTAGAGAATCATTTTAGCTGTTTTTTCATATAATTTATTATTTGATTTATTAATAACAAATATTTTAAATATAAGTTTTACATAAATCAACAAAATCAGCCAATACAGTCATTTCATTCAGAACTTTATAAATTTCAGCAAAATCAACGGGTTCGACAAATTTTAGTGTTACCAAACGGAATGTAAGTCAATTCATCTAATTTGAGCGTTGAACTCAAAGTATCTCAACAATGAAAAACCCAAGGGATATCAGACTAAAATAACTTTCAGTTGTGTTAAAAAAACTTTACCTACTCTCTCCTTCCTCCAATAAATTATATTATACACCCGGGTGTACATGTACACCCGGTTTTTAAATGACGTGGCTCTTCTCCTGCAACAAACAGAAGAAATCAGAGATCTCAGCGACCAAGCTCACCATCGGTCTGCTGCTCACCGTCGGAGTTCAACCCCAAGCTCAGCGACCAACGACATAGATCTCGCCAGGAATCAGCAACAAAAAAATAGTCCAACAAACACGGGGAGCAGCGACCAACTTCTACCACTAACTCTCGGTGTTGTCCGCAATCAATCAAACCTTTCCTTCTTGGACGGAGCACCAGGAAAGAGCAGCGAATTCCGGATTAAAAAAATCAGCAGCAACTTTGCCTCCGTAAAACCTCTGTCCGCTGCGTCAACAAAATTCCGGTCAGCAACATCTCGAGCTCTGCTTCCAATGAATTTCCCCTGCAATACACCAAAAGAAAAAAAAACAGTAAAGAAGAAAAGTTACCAGCTATTAACTCTGCTTCCAGAAATCTCCGTAGCTATGGGTCTTGAAATCAATGGTGCAAGGATGATTATGCAGACCACATAAGTTATAATTATATAAGAGTCCTCTAGAGCATTGGAGTTTTATTAGGATTCTAATTCTAATATGAAGGGCCTCGTAAATTAATCCAACCCTTGTCATCGCTCTCACGTGCCAAATGAGCATAATGTTTAAACGAAATGAGTATAGACAAATAAGGATTTGAGCACATTGGCAATTTCAAATGACATTAAAAGTGTTTTAATGCTCATAATAAGTTTGATGCACATTAAAAGTTCATTAATGCTCATTTAACAGAAACTGTGATTTTTATCTCAATAGAGAAGGTTTGATGCTCAATGAAAATGTCGTTATGTCAAACTAACAAACTTTACGATTTTCATATCAATTAACATTTTGTAAGTTACGTATGCTCATTTCGTATTGATGTTATGCTCATTTTAAAATATCATATCAATGCAAAAGCATCATATTACACTAAATTCACATATTGAAATTCATAAGAGTGTATTATAGATATAATTTAATAAGTTTTATAAAAGAAAAAATATGAAAAAGAACAAAAATCAGAAGATATGAAGTTGAGATCGGGTTACTCATTGTTAGCCTCGTAATACTCAATCAAATAGGTTGTATGCTCACTAAACGTACAATATTGCTCATTTAGCAGAAGCCGTGAATTTTTTTTGGCTTGTATTAGTGTTGATAGAGTATATATCTAGAGAGAAGTGAGAGCTAAAGAGAGAAGTGCACGTAAATGCTTCAATAGAATGATTTTGTAACCTCTACAACTACCTTAAGAGGAAGTATTTATAGGAAAAATACGGGCTGGGCTCCCAAGCCTTGGGCTTGGGAGACCCATTTTCAACTGGACCGCTATTGGGCCGAATACAAAGTAAATGATGGGATATATAAATGAATAAGTGTAAAATCTAGTTCTGCGAGACTTCCGTGGCCGACGAGGGTCTAGACGGCGAGGGCACGGCCGATGAGGGCACGGCCGATGAGGACACCCTGGTTCCCTGGCTTCAGGATCATATTCTGAGTCGGTCCCTCTTCAGCCGACGAGGGTCCTTTGTATTGGGAATATTTTATGGTGTCCAATCTAATTAAATATCTTTGTATTTGTGTAGTTATTAGCTAAATGTGTAATATGGGCCACAAATGTATTTTAGCCCATTAGCCCACTTGTAAGCCTTAAGTTAGACATCCTTATGTATAAAAGGATGCTAACTTAAACAAACCCTAACTCTCACATAAGCCTCAACGCAGATATCATTTTTAGTGAGAAGGGAGAAAAACGTCGTTCATACCCTATTCTGTATTTCGACATCTTTATTGGTATTGAATCGGATCATCGTTTCTTCTGGACTCGTTATATTGTTTGTATGATTGTTGATTGATATTGGGACTAACATTTGGTATCAGAGCCGAGGCGTGAAACAGGTTGAATCTATCTGCGAATTTTCTGATCTTACGAAGAACTGCTTTGCTTTTCTTCTCGTTTTCTTTGATATAGATATTTGCTCCTGTTATCTTGTTTGTGAACGAAAATTTGTAAAAGTTATACCGTTGGAATCACCTCTGAAAAACGATCAAGCAGTATATCGTAGTTTTTGATTTTCACAATTTTTCAGTTTGGAAGATCTCGATACTCGGATCTCGAGATCAAGTTTTTTACAGGATGTGTTTAGTATTTCGATCTGAAATTTTCACAGGAGGATCTCGTCATTCAGGACTACGCGATACAACTTTCAGTTTTTGAAAAATCGACATTTTGAGATTTCGACATTTTAAGATCTTGAGATTTTGATATTTCGACATTTTAGGATCTCGAGATTTTGAGCTTTCGACATTTTAAGATCTCGAGATTTTGATATTTCGACATTTTAGGATCTCGAGATTTTGAGCTTTCGACTTTTTAAGATCTCGAGATTTTAAGGTTTTGACATTTTAAGATTTCGAGATTTCCACTTTGGTTTTAAAAAAAATAAAAATAAAAAATATTTCTATAAAGGAACGAGGGGCAAAATTGTCTTTTGAGCCCCGCCGAATTTTGCAGCATTCGTGTCCGCAGGTCGCCCGCGCAGGGGGGGTGCGAATTTTCGAGATCCTTTAAAATACTATTTCTATATCAAAGTTGGGGAGTGTTACTAAGATTTCGAGATCCTTTAAAATACTATTTCTATATCAAAGTTGGGGAGTGTTACTAAGATGACAATTAGTTAACATCTTGACATTGGTTATAGTAATAGCTATTTCTTCCTCTATGTTAATATTGGGGAGTGTTACTAAGATGACAATTAGTTAACATCTTGATATTAATCATAGTAGGATTCATATTCTTTAATATTCTTCCTTGAGTATTAATTAATTCCTATTCATATTTCATGTTAATATTTTAAACATTACTTAAAGTATCAACTAGTATTGTTTCTCATATTAATTATTACTAGAATTGATCGGTTAATACGCTTGTTATTAATCCGGTTCTTTCAACGGTAGTAAACTTGGAATATTAATGCATGCATCTCATGGTTAATATGCCAAGGGGAATTAATTATATTGATTAAACCAATAAACCGCTTGTGTTGATATCAATTTCAATCGTTTTCATCTTAAGTTTATTGCTACTATCAAGTTAATATACGGCGCTTGTTCTATATTGACGCGATAGTAAGTTTTATTAATGAACGCATCTCGTTATTAATAACTACCCTCGATGAACTGGATATACTCCTCGATTGAGTATTCGAGAGGAAGATAGTTAAAGATATAACCGGGATCGACGAACATTTCATTAAGTGGATAAAAGCAAAACCAAGCCACCACATCTATTAATCAAACTCATATAGGTTGTTCATCTTAGTGTTTTTAAATCAAACAAATCTAAACCCCCCTTGTTACTACTTATATAGAAGAAAAGTATTCCTTTCCCTGTGGATACGAACCTTACTTCAATATACTACGAATTAGTGTTGTATTGTAATTATTTTGAGTGCACCTCACGACAAAGTGCACGTCAAATTTGGCGTCGTTGCCGGGGAAAGGCAATTTAAATTTTTCTTTTATTTCATTTCAGAAAAAAATAAAAAAAAAGTATATATCAAACAAAAATATAAAGAGTGTTTATTTTTCTATTTTCTGAGCTTAGTGGAGTTTATGGTTAAACATCGTTCCATAAACGAAATCACATATCACAAAAACCCAGAAATAGAACAAACTTTCGAGTTTCGAGCGGTTGAAATGTAAATTTTCTAATACCGACTCGGAAGAATCATCTACCAGAGACTCATACACCGCTAGCTCTAGCTCTAGCGAATCCGAAGAGTCTTTTCATATGGCTCTCGAAACGAGAACATTGAGGGAGCTCACAGCTCCAAACCTCAACCAACAACCGTTATGTATCACTTTCCCCACTCTTGATGAAGGTGCTACATTTGAGCTCAAATCGGGGCTCATCCATTTGCTTCCTTCATTTCATGGTCTACGGGGTGAAGACCCAAACAAACATCTCTCGGAATTCCATATTGTTTGCACAAGCATGTGCCCAAATGGAGTCACCGAGGAACAAATCAAGTTGAGGGCTTTTCCATTCTCCCTCAAAGACACAGCTAAGGATTGGTTATTCTATCTCCCTTCAGTGAGTATAGATACATGGGCGTCAATGAAAAAATGCTTCCTAGAAAGGTACTACCCTGCATCCGTCTCATCATCTTTGAAAAAACAAATAAGCAACATCGAGCAAAAAGATGATGAGACATTATATGAGTATTGGGAGCGTTTTCAAAAATTGTGTGCTAGTTGCCCATATCATGGTTACACAGAGCAAGACCACATCCTCTACTTCTATGACGGTCTTGCGGAGCAAGATAGACGCCTGGTGAACGCAGCATCTCGAGGGGGGATTGTCAACAAAACCCCTTCCCAAACTAGGAATCTCATCTCGGAGTTGGCCGAGAATTCTAGACACTACAATGGGAGGTCATCATCAAGCGAGTCATGGCAGCGGAATCCAACATCTTGTTGGAAAGTCAAGTGGCCGGCTTGACTTCTTTGGTAAAAGATTTCCTTTTAAATCCAAAACACCAAGAAGTCAAGGTATGCGGCATATGCTCAACACAGGGGCACCCCACCGATTCCTGCCCAACACTACAAGAAGAGAATTCCGAGCAAGTCAATGCTTTGGGATTTCAAGGCCAAAAGAGGTATGATCCACACTCTAACTCCTACAATCCTGGGTGGAGAGATCACCCGAATTTGAGATATGGGAACCCTCAAAGTCAGCCCTTGCAACCAACTTTCCCTAATCACCAAGGCCAAACGTCAAGCTCAAGTATGTCCACCGAAGACATGATTCGAGCACTCACCTCAAATGTCTCAACCATGCAACAAAACATGGTTCGATTTCAACATGAGACCAAGTCCAACATTCAGAATTTGGAAAGCCAAGTAAGTCAAATTGCAAATGCCGTAAACCGACTTGAAACAAAGGACTCGGGAAAACTCCCATCTCAAACGGAGCAAAACCTGAGACAACATGTGAATGCTATCATGTTGAGAAGTGGGGCGACGTTGAAAGAGGTAGAGAAGAACGATAGAGAGATTGAGGGGGTGGACCCTGAAAAAGTAGTCCCGCCGGAGGAGGAGATCACAGAAACCAAGCTCCCCCCACCCTCATCATATGAACTAGTGATCCCGTTTCCTGAGGCGCTGAGGGAGACAAATAAGCTAGAGAAAGATGCCGACATCTATGAAACCTTCGCAAAGTGTGAGGTAAACATTCTGCTTCTTAACTTGATGAAAAATGTCCCTCGTTTTGCTAAATTTTTAAAAGAATTATGAAAAACAAAAAGAAAAGATAAATTGAAAGGGAAACAGGAGGTTAAAGTTAGTGAACGCGTCTCAGCCATTTTTCAGAGAAAACTCCCCGAAAAATGTAACGACCCAGGCATGTTCACTATCCCTTGCAAAATAGGAGACATCACATTTCCTAAGGCCTTGTTGGATTTAGGGGCATCAATAAATGTCATCCCCTATTATGTTTATAAATCTCTACAACTTGGCCCATTACATCAAACCGGTGTAGTGATTCAACTAGCGGATCATTCTAGTACTTACCCGAAGGGTGTAATAGAAGATGTGCTAGTAGAAGTAGAAAATATGGTTATTCCTGTTGACTTCTATGTCCTTGAAATGGGAACTGATGACCAAACAACACCCATCCTTTTAGGTAGACCCTTCATGAAGACCGCAAAAACGAAAATTGACGTTTCTAGTGGTTCATTAACTTTAGAGTTCGATAACCAAAAAGTGGAATTCAACATCTTGGACTCTACGAAAAAACAAATGCAAAATCTAACTCTTTGTTCTTTAACTGTTGTTCAATCACAAGAACCGGTACTTTTCAAAGAAGCGGATAAAATCATATTTTTTCAAGAAGGGAAAAATAAACACGAGAAGCCATCTTTGATAGGAAGGGATGTGTTAAAATGTGAACCAAATCCACCTATGATGGAGGTGGTAGTGAGAAAGAAACCCCGGCCTTACTGGAAAAGGCCGAAAAATAAATTTGAAAAATGGCTAAATAAGGCCACAAAAAATGAAACAAGGGATGTTCACGATCCCACTTAAAAAAATGAATAACGTCGTGCCACGACGTTAACTAAGGCGCTTCTTGGGAGGCAACCCAAGTTTATTTTTTCATAAATTCGAGTGTTTATAATTCAATTTTTGTGTGTTATTATTTGAGAGATCAGTGAGAGAGGGAACTAATCACGGGTTTTTGGAGGAAAAGAAGAAAAAAAAATGCAGGTTTGGAGCATCTGGGGACATACCCGATCGAGTACCACCTTATACTCGGTCAGGTATGGCCAAAAGAAGGGGAACCGGGCATTACTCGATCGAGGAAGCATTCAATTTTTGAAAGAAAATAGGCATAATCGATCGGGTATCACTATATACCCGGTCGAGTATGTACAGAAAGTCGAAGTTCAAGGGAAACTGATGCCCACATTCGATCGAGTACAGGGCTCGAAAAATTGAAAAACGAGGGATACCCGATCGGGTATCACTATACACCCGATCGGGTATGTATGGAAAGGCTAAGGTTGAAGAAAGCTGACTCCCACACTCGATCGAGTACAGGCATCAAAACGTAGAAAAGAACACATACCTGATCGAGTATTGTATGATACCCGATCGGGTGCCGGAGGCAGACCACTCAACAATCTCAGTTTCCAGCCATATTCGACCGGGTAACAACACATACCCGATCGGGTACCGGAGGCAGACCACTCAACAATCTCAGTTTCCAGCCATACTCGACCGGGTAACAACACATACCCGATCGGGTACCGGAGGCAGGCTGCTCAAAAATCCCAGTTTCCAGCCATACCCGACCGAGTAACAACACATACTCAATCGGGTATACGGGCGTTTTAACCCCAAATCCGCCCCAAACACTTCATCTTCCCCAAATTCCCAGCCCCAATTTCGAACCCCTCTCCCCCAACCTCCATTTTTAACACTTCTCTCTACCATATCTTCTCCATTTCTTCACCAAATCACCCCATTCCAACACCAAAATACTCCCCTCATCTTCCTCTACACACCCATACCCACCAATCCAACTTTCCCCCAGTTTCAAGAGGTCCGAAAAAACCCTACCCCAACTTTCAATTTTCGGATTTCAAGCTCAAAATCACCCAAAAATGGATCCAAGGAAGGAAAAAGGGCAGAGCTCCAACACTATGGCATCCATCCCAGGCTACGAGGACATCATCTTCGCCAACAACGAACACCGAACCCGCTTTATCTCCACCATTGAAAGGCAAGTAAAACCCTCTCGTTTTTTATGCCATGATGCCCTCAATGAGTTAGGAGTGTATAAAAGCACTAGGAAATTTTTTCATGAGTTGAGCATGGATAAGATATTCAAAATGCAATATCACTCTAATGAAAAAAAAATCTATGAATTCATAAGTTCGGTGCAATTTGAGACCGATGAAGCTGATTTTAGGGATGATAAACTCAAGTTTCGTCTGTTTAACCACAACCACTCCATAATGAAACTTGAGTTCGCCGAACATTTTGGTATTCCGGTCCCTTACCAAAAATCCATATCCGATAATACCGCTTTCGGTCATACCGTGTGGACAAAGATGACCGGGGAGACTAAATTTAGCTCCTCCCAACTGTATATTAGTCATGTCCAACATCCCGTCCTCCGCCTATTCTTGAAATTCCTTGTCAATTGCTTGCTTGGACGTCCCAACAATCATCACACTAGGATGGGGGATGTATGCCTAATGTATGTGGCCTTATTCCGTGTTCACGTGGATTTCAATCTGTGTAATCTTATGTGGGCACATCTGAAAAAGGAAAGCGTAGCCAAGGACGCTATTGTGGTGGGTGGGGTGATTATGCACTTAGCCACCAAGTTCGGGTATACGGATAACTCTCCTATACCCGACTACTGTTTGATGAACATCTCTTGGTTGGGCCACTCGGGATGTACAGCCTTTTCCCACACAGTTTATGGTGGAGAAAGACCAAAGAATATGTACAACTGGCTCATACACCCCAAGCCTCTCAAATACTTCCTCCTACCCAACCAAGAACTCCCCAAACTCCGCTACAGAGAAGCAGTATAGGAGCCCCATTACCTCTTCCCACACGCCCTTCCACCACATCTCCAGGAACCGGAGCAAGAACCTCCCCAATACCAACCCGATTACGAGCCCTATGCTCAACTCCATAGCCATCAAGACATGGGCAATGACATCCCCGAACAAAACCAAAACCCTCCACCACCCGACTTCTTTCAACAACTTTTGGAGGGTCAACAACAATTACTTACGGGGTACATTCAAATGAACGCGAACTACATGGCTATGGACAACCGGCTCAACCAAATACAGGAGGAGCAAAGAGCCGGTTTTCAGCGATTGGAGGAGGTCCGGGAAGCCGATAGGCATCGGTATGAAGAAGATCAACGTAGGTTCTACGGACCTATGTACTCTTACATGGAACAGCAGGGATCTTTTCATACCATGGCAAACCCCCCTCCACCACCCTCGTGGTATGACCCCACTCATTGGGGTAACTTTGGAGGATCTGGCTCCGGGGGTGGAGGGTACGACGGCGGAGATGGCGGGGACACATATATGGGAGATGGTGGGCAGGGGAGCGGCTTCGGAGGGAGCTACTACGGCGGAGAAGGCGGGCACTAGGGACAATGCTTGGTTCAAGTGCGGGGGAGAGACTGATCATGGTATGTAATTTTAATTTCCACCTAGCACTATGCATGTAATTCTTTTGAACTATTTACACAAAAAAGAGAATAAATAAAAGAAAATAAATGCTAGTTAGGTTGGAAACCCAACAAAATGGGCAATCTAAGCAAAAAAGGCTTATAAAAAAAATGAGTGAGTTGGGGAGAATGGAAAATGAAAAGAGATGCTAGGATGAAAACCTGAAAAGGCTCCTAAGCAAAATGAGAGATATGAGAGAAATGTTTATTTTTGCAGGCACTCATTGTATCTCTTTGAAGAATAAGAAGATTCAGAAAACAAAGAAGAAGAAGAAGAAGAAGAAGAAGAAGAAGAAGAAGAAGAGAAGAGGAGAAGAGAAGATGAACACTAGAAGGCCGTAAAACCCAAGATGTTCTTTGTAATTTGAGTTTAAAACTCATTTTTGTCATCCTTGGTGGTCTTTGTGTTTGTATGTTTTTTGTTAAAATGTGGAAACTTTGGAAAAACTTGACATTTGTGAACATTTGATCTTACTCGAGACGAGTAAAGGTTTAAGTGTGGGGGAGTTGATACGTTTGTAATTTCCATATGTATGTTTGTGTTTTTAATTAGTTTTGCTTGATCTTTACTTTGGAAATTACACATTTTTTGTGTAATAGATTAGTTTGTTAAATTCTTGTAAATAGTTTAGATTAGGTATATTCTGAGCTCAAACAGGTCTTGATCACTCAAAGTACAGTTGGTGAACCCAAAAAGTGGAAAGAAGGTGCAAAATTTGAAGACAAGAGAAGGATCCTGAATTTTGGTCTATACTCGGTCGAGTATCACCTATACTCAATCAGGTATTAGGTTGAAACTTCAAATCGGATCAGATCCGAAGACAAGGGAACATGCCGGGAGGATTTCGGCCACGATTTAATGTCTATACCCGATCGGGTAGACCGACATACCCGATCGGGTATGCCTTTGAGTTTTAAACGAAGATCAGTCGAGTATGGCTCGAATACCACTTTCTAAGCATACTCGACCGGATATAAACATATACCCGATCGGGTATACCTGTGGAAAATAGCCTGAAACCGATCGAGTATACCTCGAACCGGGTATTACACACATACTCGATCGGGTACCATGTATATACCCAATCGAGTACCCGAATCTCATCCCAAAAGCTTATAAATACACCCCCTTTCCTTCACGAATGGATATCCAATTCGTTTGTACATCTAAGCTCAGTATAGAATAGTTCTTTCTTTATATTTTTCATCATGTTTAGTCTCCAAATGAGGAGCTAAACTCTTCCATCTTGGTTTTTCTACTTTGAAGCTTAATGAATTTGTAAGTTGTGAGTTATTTTCTTTAATCTTCTTCCTTGAATATTAATTCTTCCTTTAAAATACTATTTATATATCAAAGTTGGGGAGTGTTACTAAGATGACAATTAGTTAACATCTTGACATTGGTTATAGTAATAGCTATTTCTTCCTCTATGTTAATATTGGGGAGTGTTACTAAGATGACAATTAGTTAACATCTTGATATTAATCATAGTAGGATTTATATTCTTTAATATTCTTCCTTGAGTATTAATTAATTCCTATTCATATTTCATGTTAATATTTTAAGCATTACTTAAAGTATCAACTAGTATTGTTTCTCATATTAATTATTACTAGAATCGATCGGTTAATACGCTTGTTATTAATCCGGTTCTTTCAACGGTAGTAAACTTGGAATATTAATGCATGCATCTCATGGTTAATATGCCAAGGGAAATTAATTATATTGATTAAACCAATAAACCGCTTGTGTTGATATCAATCTCAATCGTTTTCATCTTAAGTTTATTGCTACTATCAAGTTAATATATGGCGCTTGTTCTATATTGACTCGATAGTAAGTTTTATTAATGAACGCATCTCGTTATTAATAACTACCCTCGATGAACTGGATATACTCCTCGATTGAGTATTCGAGAGGAAGATAGTTAAAGATATAACCGGGATCGACGAACATTTCATTAAGTGGATAAAAGCAAAACCAAGCCACCACATCTATTAATCAAACTCATATAGGTTGTTCATCTTAGTGTTTTTAAATCAAACAAATCTAAACCCCCTTGTTACTACTTATATAGAAGAAAAGTATTCCTTTCCCTGTAGATACGAACATTACTTCACTATACTACGAATTAGTGTTGTATTGTAATTATTTTGAGTGCACCTCACGACAAAGTGCACGTCAAATTTGTGTCATCAAATTTGTGTCCGTTAAAGGTGCTGTTTACTCCTTCTGACCGTTAGTTAAAGTCTGTAATGTTGGTTGAGGAGGCCATTGGGGCTGCCTTTTGGTTGGACGATGAGAGTCCTTGCTTGGTGGGAAAGATGAGCACCCTTTGTCACGAATGGCCGATGAAGGTCGTGCTTACTCGTGACAGTTGAAGGCCGCTCTTCGCTCTTTGGGGCCGAGGAGGCCCTTGTGGTTGTCTCCTGTTCGAGGATGATGAGTGTTCTTTTGTTCTCAGGTAGCCGATGAGGGTGCAGTTTGCTTCTTGGCCGAGGCGGTGTTGTCCGTAGTCTAGCGCTCACACTTTCGAGGACGATAACGGCACTGATCCGGGAGGAGTGGTGCGTGTCCTGGTCTCAAAGTCGATAAGTGCCCTGTGACCTCAAGTGTTGCACTTTTGGAGGGAATTCTATGTGGATGTTATGGTGCATGTCTAATGTTGTAGTTGTGGACTTAGTATGTTTTTGGATTTCTTTGATTTTGTCCTGATTTGCAAAGGCCGGTGTAGTCCCCCAGTCCCCCACTGCTTCAGGCCGAAGAGTAGGTGAGGGGTGAAGGAGTAAAGGATATACCCAGGCCGAAGCGGACTCTTGTATACACCTAGGGGAGAGCGTCGGACGGGTTCGGGTAGGACGGGTTGGGTTTTTGCATACCCTTTCGGTTATCGGGCTGAGAATATAAAACCCTACCCCGTCCAAAAAATATTTCGGGCTAATCGGGTTGCACAATTTCGGATTTGGGTCGGTTTTAATCGGTTCTCGGGGCCATTCGGGCTGATTAAAATCCATTAAACACATAACACAAATAATTCATAAAATCACCTTGAAAAAAAATGTTGGATTAGACTTTACAAACACAAATAAAATACATAATAATATGTTATCAAAAGCAATTGCAAAATTAGTAGAGTTTGTACAACTCCAAACACATGGCTGATAGTTATAAGTTTATAACTTATACACTTAATACTTATACACTCATACATTCATACACATTACTCCAATACTACTTGGTACTTACTTATACACTTACACAGTTATACTGCTTATGCACAAAGCAGTTTAACATTTAGAGTTTGAGCAATCAAATGTTCCAAAACAGCAAGTACCAACAAAAAGTTTAACAACATTCAATTGATGTACAAGTCTTCAGATCTTGACTCTTGACATCTACTTGACTACTAGTCTACTAGAGTGTTTCCAGAATTCCAGGTTTCATCAATTTCGCAGATCATCAACCGAACAGTCATTGATTTTGTTCCTATGTAAGTCACAAACACATTAGTATCATAAAACACTAAACTGGGAAGTGTTTAGTGTCATTATTATCATTATTATTTTCTGGGAACTTGGGAAGTGGGAACTATAAACAATTCAAAAGTATATAGAAATACAATAAGATTTGGCTCAGATTTAATTTCAGTTCACTAATAATGGGGGCATTAATCACTATATAATTAGAATCAACACCAAACCCATTTATTTTATTTTCTGGTAGAACTGTAGAAGGCTAGAAGCCATCCTCATTGCCAAAATAACTAATTGAGTAAACAATTCATGTAAGAACTCATAATTCATAAGTACATAGGAAAATTGCAGTAGTAAAACCAAGGCAGGAAGCAACATATCCTTAATTTGACTCAGTTTTGTATTCTTAATTTAATTTTTTTGGTGGAAACTATCATTACTGATTAAATAATGCAACAATTAATCTAATAAGTCAGAAGTCATAAATACATATGCATTAGCAAATTCCAGTTTTTGGATTACACAAGACTGGTTGGAAAGTGAGAAGGGCTTGCCTAGCATCCTTTGAGGCAGGCAATTTCAGACAACTCAGTATGTGATTTCTAAGAGAGGAAGTGCCATGCTTCTTAGACTGACAACAATATATTTTAGCACAATGTATGCATTTTCCTTTGACAACAACACCATTACTATCTTTGATCTTATCAAATTGATCCCATATTCTAGATCTGGACTCTACCTCCTTTCTCTTATTTCCAGGAACATTAGTCTGTTGTGTGCTGGTGTTAGCCCCAACATCATGAGCTCCCATCATAGGTTCTTGGGAAACAGGAGTCAAAGGAGGTTGAGAGCCAGATGCAGGTATGGTATCCATACATTCAACTTCCATTCTGATAAATGATAGGAAGTTATAGTTCAAAAAACTCAATAATGCAAGCTTCCAGATTGAACACAACATCATACATTGAAATTAAAGTCTGGAACAATCAGCAAGTTGATCTACAGAAGGATATAAGCAGTAGGCTTATTCACTTCTCTACAGACTTAGAAGATACCAGTTCACTCTAACTACTCATTTGAGTGTTAGAGTAGAAAAAGGCAACTTCAACACTTGTCAAAAGACTCAGAACTCATAATAAATCAACCATCATCTTTACTCAGGGGCCACTTATATAATAATCTCAGAATCACACAGGCATCATCGAGGCAGCACATATTCAGAGACCATTTATATCAAAATCTCAGAATCATAGATTCATATAATCATATGCATGACCAAAGCATCATAGATTAACAGGTAGTTCATAGAAAGGGTATCAGGGTCCGAATCTAGGGTTTCAAGCTTCCACCAAAAACATAACAGTGCATCAAAATAATACAACTAATTCATATACAAAACAGATAACACATTACACTTATGGATCATGCTTCCACCAAACCACCAAGCATACAGTTTAGGTATTTAACGTTTATACCTCAGTAAGAGAGACCGAGAGAGTGAGAGATCGAGAGTACAAGCTTCCACCGGAGTCCGGAGGTACAAATAGACTACAGAGGTCGGACCTACGACGGATAGTTGACAGGGATGGTTAGAGAGAAGTCGCAGACTCGCAGTAGGAGAGATCGAGAGAGGGAGTTGCGAGTGAAGAGTGGAGGCGCTGGAGTAGTGGAGTGTTAGGGTTAGGGTTAAATAATTCGTATATATAGTATGGGTAGTTCGAGTATTCGGGCGGGTCGGTTCGGGATTTATAATACCCTACCCGTAACCCATAACCCTTAAAACATGGGCTGGGCTTTTCGGTTCGGGTTTTCAAGTTCGGGTCAACCGACCCAATCGGCTATAAGAGAGCAAACCCGATCGGGTTTTCGGGTGGGTTCGGGTTATGCTCACCCCTATATACACCTGAATCCAATTCCTTGGCGATTTCCTGGTCAAGGTAACCCTGTGGGAGGACCCTTGGACGCAGGTCGCTTTCAAGAAATTATCATCAGGATTTTATACAGGGCCGATGTCATGGGGTTTTCTTGGTGGTTTTACCGCCGTGGCCACTTAGAAAACCATGTGATTGACATTCTGTTCAATCCGATGTCGACGTGCCTTGAGATGCGATCTATCCCTTTGAAGTATCTCTGTGTTGAGGCCGATGCGGGCATGCTTTACTGGTGTGGCCGTTGAGTGGTTGGCTTGTTAGTGGTGAGCTGGTGTTGTGGAAGTGGGCCTCATCCGACTTCTAAACCGGCGCTCGGCCCAATGGGCCTTGGGGGTGGTGGCCGTTCATGTGGCCAATGGGAGGTGGCCACGTGTAGTGACCGTTGGGGGGAGGTCTATAAATACCCCCCCTCTGAAGAGGTTCCTCATTGCATTCCTGAGATAACGAAGTGCTGCTGAATTTTCTAGAGAGATAAAGTTCTTGCAAGTGTTCTTCGTGTTCATCCAATCTTCAAAGGTTAGTTCATTGAAACTTTCCTCTGTACTTTGCCTATTTCGCTTCTTAGGCCATTGATCCTTTGTTAGTGGAGAAAAACCCTTAGATCCCAAGTAGAAACATTTAGGCTCTAGTTAATTGTTATAATGAAGCTTTTGGACGATGAGTACTACCCGTACGACGATGAACCCTCTGCTAAGTCCCTTGATTACCGGGTGGTAGAGGAGTGTTGTGAGGAGATAAAGGAGTTGAGCTCCTTCAAGTCAGGGGAGGGTGAATGTGAGGACGAAGAGGTCGCCTCGTCGTCTGACGGTGAAGACGTAGTGGCTTCACGTGTTGTGGACAGGGCGTCTACATCGGCTGCGATCCCCTGCCCGAAGCCGGTTTCTGTTGTGAAGGGAGTTGCTCTGATGAGAAGGTGGCGGCCGAAGAGGGGTCCAGGTTTCTCCTTCCTGGATCTCACCAACCTTTACCTGATCAGGCCGGAGAGCAGTGTGGCCGATTACCTGGCGGCCCAGATGTACGTGGGGCCGTATGGGCGGGTTAGGGCGCCCAAGCCGACGGATCACGTGTTGAATCCACCTCCAGGGTATTTTGGAGTATACCCCATGAGCTTCGCAAAGGGACTCAGGTTTCCCCTTCACCCCTTCATCACAGAGTATCTGGACATGGTTGGTCTCCCTCCAGCCTTGCTGACTCCCAACAGTTATTCGCTCATCGTCGGCTTTCTTCTCCGCTGCGATGAGCTAGATTTTAAGCCGACAACGGCACTGTTTATGAACCTGTACCAGATTGGCCGAGGGAGCCACAAAAACTGTGCTGGTTACGCCAACCTCCAACAGCTGCCGAAGAAGAGGAGTTTCACTGACCTCCCTTCGTCTATTCATGGATGGAAGAGCACGTTTGTCTTCGTGTCCTTGGGTGAGGACGGTACGGAGTTTCCTTCAGTTGGTCACGACGGGAAGTTCACCCTGCACGACGTGCCGAAGAGCAGTATCCTGGATGCCCAGGTAGCGGCGTTTCTGAAGGATGGGCCGAGGAGCGTGAAACATTACATCACGGAATACAAGATGACCGCTCTCGACTTCATGAGGTATCACATTTATGGTGACAAGGAAGTTTATGGTGACAAGGAAGGTGATATCGAGTTGTGGCCGAAGATGACCACCACCTTCGAGGAGGCCGACGGCCCGGATATGGGCATTCCTGCTGATGCCGATGGTAATACCTTCCCTGGCGTCTTCGTCTATGTTTTCTTTTATGTTTTGCTAACTGTTTGTTTCCCTTGTTGTGCAGACTTCACTATGGATCGTAGATCCGTCATGGCCCTAGCCAAAGCTAAGGCGAAAGAGGAAATGGCCGCAAAGGAGGCCACAAAGGTGGCCGCTGCGAGCGGCGCTCAACCAACTCTGATGCGGCGAAGAAGCCGCCAACGCAGCCGAAGAAGAAGCGGCCCGCCGATGACGGCCAGAAAAAACTTACCGAGGCCAGCATGCAATCCAAGAAGTCGAAGAGGGCTTCCCCTCTAGCGGATGCTGGTGCCGGGGTGGCCATACCGGATGATGATGTCGGGGGCTCTAATGTCATTGCCGTTGTGGACGCAACTTCGGTCCCTTCTTCGGCGATCCTATCTCAGCCGCCGCCTATCGGCCAAGAGCCCCGTAAGCAAAGGGCCGGCAAGGAGCTGGCCGGCGGGACTTACAAGCTCGAGATAGAGTACCCTGTGAAGGGTGGCGTCTTTAATGACACCGTTGACGGCCACGATGTCCTGGCCCAGGCTGTCCCGGTCGAGGATCGGGCTTATTTGAAGAAGCTGGATCCCGTCAGGATCTACGATGGCGGTATGGACCTCATCGTCCAAGTGATGGGATATATAAATGAATAAGTGTAAAATCTAGTTCTGCGAGACTTCCGTGACCGACGAGGGTCTGGACGATGAGGGCACGACCGATGAGGGCACGACCGATGAGGGCACAACCAATGAGAACACCCTGGTTCCCTGACTTCAGGATCATATTCTGAGTCGATCCCTCTTCGGCCGACGAGAGTCCTTTGTAAAAAAAACAGTTTATAGGAGTTTTCTATTGCAAAAACATAGCCTTTGAAATTCCGTAATGAATTGCTCTGGATTCTGGGCGTGAATCCTGGATTCTGGGCGTGAATCCTGGATCCCTACATAATTTACTATGATTAGAGTAGTGGGTAGAATAAAAAACGTAAAGAATTGTATGTAGTGAATCTAAGTCATGCTAAACTGTAAATAAAACTTATAACAATAGAGTCACCTCATTGGGGAGTATTATTTCCACCGGAATACTGCATTACAGTATCCTTGATGGTAGCAACCAATTGCAAGTGAAGTAGTGAACCATCATGATTGAAGCTCACATTTATAGCAAAATGTCATACAATTGAGTAAACTTATTTTGGGGTATAGGTGAAGCAAATTACTTCAGTGAAAGTGACTGATCAAGGAAGAAAATGGGAGTACAAATTTCATGCAGTGATGAAGCATGGGGTGCAACTTGCAGTAACTGTTATGCCACATGGGAAACACTACGTATGAATAGATTCAGATGAATGTGCACACTAAATTTGTAATTTTCACTGTGGAAACACTATAATCCCAGTTACCCCATTTCCTGCAACCCTTTATTTGTTTTTATCTTTTTTGATATTTTTCCTTATCTTTTTTTTTTGCTATTTGTATTGATGTTGATAGTTTTGAGCGGAAATCCTGTAGCAAAAACATTTTGCTTTTAGATATTAATAGATTAAGTTTAATTTTAGTCCTTGACAATTACTATTTTCGATAATCCCTGATTCTAAGATGATCGCCTTGTTTTACTGTTGATCTTATTTTCGTTCAGCATAGCAAATTCACTGTACCCATCTTGTTTTTTTGCTTCAGACATCACTACACTCGAGTTCTATTGGGTTCACCGCCATTGGAATTCCACGTCCAGATAGACACCGGCAGTGGAATTTCATGGGTCAGTTGTGCATCGTGCAATGGTTGTCCACTATCTAGCGGATTTCCGATATAAGTTTCCGCAATTGCAGTCTTTTTCAATATCCACTATAAGTATGCTGTTAACACTAAATTAAAATTTGACTGACCTAAATTTCTTTTGAAGTTCCACCTTCAATTCTTCAACCCGCAAGGCTCCTCTACATCTTCGTTTATCCCATGCTCGGATCATCGGTGTGCTTCCCACAACACTGGATGTTCAAGCAGTAATAATCTATGCAAATACAACATTACATATGGCGATGGTGGGGAGACAGCAGGTTACTACATTGCTGACAACATTCATTTGGATATGATTAATGGTAATAAATCTGCTTCAAGTGTGATCCCCATTGTATTCGGGTGAGCCTTTTATTGTTTTATGTTTAACCAATAAATTTCGATTTTTCGATATTTGGATGTTACAAGCTTTTCAATTGGTAGTGTTTTGTTTACGGCGTAAGTTGTGATATGACAGGTGTAGTACTTATCAGCTCGGATATTTGGCACAAAGCAACCTGGCACTTGATGGGATCTTCGGGTTTAATCAAAATAAAATGTCCATTATCTCGCAGCTTTCCTCGGAAGGTGTTGTCCCAAAAGTATTCTCCCACTGCCTAAAAGATGGAGATGGCAGTTTTTTTGTGCTTGGTGAGGCAGTCGGGTTGAATCTCATGTGGACTCCCCTCGCTCCACACAAGTATGTATCTTGTTCCTTCAATTTCATAAGCTAGATGTTCCTTTGAGATTCAAACATGTACTCATGGTTTACTCTCATGTGTACAAAATGTTCATTATCACCTTTATACTACGTATATTATATTGTTCCTGTGAAACAGGCTATTTAGAGTATTAGCCAACTTCACTACTTTTATCTAATTATTTTGCATGTCCTTTCCACTAGAGCTAGATTATGAAAAATATGTATACACCACTACTACAAAAAATACTTTTTGAGTCGCATATAAACTTCCTTTACGCATCGCTTTAGAGGTGATGCAAAAGCCACCAACGCATAAAGTAACATGTCTATTCATCACTCTTGGTGGCTTTTGCGTTGCTTTACGACACGTTGCTTAGAGAGTGATGCAATAGACACATTATTTTATGCATTGGTGGCTTTTGCATCACCTCTAAAGCGATGCGTAAAGGAAGTTTATATGCGACTCAAAAAGTATTTTTTGTAGTACTGGGTGTATACATATTTCTCATAATCTAGCTCTACTGGAAAGGACATGCAAAATAATTAGATAAAAGTAGTGAAATTGGGTAATACTCTTAATAACCTGTTTCACAGGAACAATATAATATACGTAGTATAAAGGTGATAATGAACATTTTGTACACATGAGAGTAAACCATGAGTACATGTTTGAATCTCAAAGAAACATCTAGCTTATGAAATTGAAGGAACAAGATACATACTTGTGTGGAGCGAGGGGAGTCCACATGAGATTCAACACCTTTTAGGCAGTGGGAGAATACTTTTGGGACAACACCTTTCGAGGAAAGCTGCGAGATAATGGACATTTTATTTTGATTAAACCCGAAGATCCCATCAAGTGCCAAGTTGCTTTGTGCCAAATATCCGAGCTGATAAGTACTACATCTGTCATATCACAACTTACGCCGTAAACAAAACACTACCAATTGAAAAGCTGGTAACATCCAAATATCGAAAATTCGAAATTTATTGGTTAAACATAAAACAATAAAAGGCTCACCCGAATACAATGGGGATCACACTTGAAGCATATTTATTACTATTAATCATATCCAAATGAATGTTGTCAGCAATGTAGTAACCTGCTGTCTCCCCACCATCGCCATATGTAATGTTGTATTTGCATAGATTATTACTGCTTGAACATCCAATGTTGTGGGAAGCACACCGATGATCCGAGCATGGGATAAACGAAGATGTAGAGGAGCCTTGCGGGTTGAAGAATTGAAGGTGGAACTTCAAAAGAAATTTAGGTCAGTCAAATTTTAATTTAGTGTTAACAGCATACTTATAGTGGACATTGAAAAAGACTGCAATTATACCGGAAATCCGCTAGATAGTGGACAGCCATTGCACGATGCACAACTGACCCATGAAATTCCACTGCTCGTGTCTATCTGGACGTGGAATTCCAATGGCGGTGAACCCAATAGAACTCGAGTGTAGTGAAGTCTGAAGCAAAAAAACAAGATGGGTACAGTGAATTTGCTATGCTGAACGAAAATAAGATTGACAATAAAACAAGGGGATCATCTTAGAATCAAGGATTATCGAAAATAGTAATTGTCAAGGACTAAAATTAAACTTAATCTATTAATATCTAAAAGCAAAATGTTTTTGCTACAGGATTTCCGCTCAAAACTATCAACATCAATACAAATAGCAAAAAAAAAGATAAGGAAAAATATCAAAAAAGATAAAAACAAATAAAGGGTTGCAGGAAATGGGGTAACTGGGATTATAGTGTTTCCACAGTGAAAATTACAAATTTAGTGTGCACATTCATCTGAATCTATTCATACGTAGTGTTTCCCATGTGGCATAACAGTTACTGCAAGTTGCACCCCATGCTTCATCACTGCATGAAATTTGTACTCCCATTTTCTTCCTTGATCAGTCACTTTCACTGACGTAATTTGCTTCACCTATACCCCAAAATAAGTTTACTCAATTGTATGACATTTTGCTATAAATGTGAGCTTCAATCATGATGGTTCACTACTTCACTTGCATTTGATTGCTACCATCAAGGATACCGTAATGCAGTATTCCGGTGGAAATAATACTCCACAATGAGGTGTTATAAGTTTTATTTACAGTTTAGCATGACTTAGATTCACTACATACAATTCTTTAGGTTTTTTATTCTACCCACTACCCTAATCATAGTAAATTATGTAGGGATCCAGGATTCACGCCCAGAATCCAGAGCAATTCATTACGGAATTTCAAAGGCTATGTTTTTGCAATAGAAAACTCCTATAAACTGTTTTTTTTTTACAAAAGCGAAAGATATGAAATTTATAGCATTCAGTTCCCTTTGAAAACGTTCTCTTTGAAGTGGTTCGCTCCATTACAAGTGCAGGATATTATAGATTAGAAAACAGGGACAAGTATTTAATTTATGTGAAATTTAGGCACATACGTCATAGTGGTGTTTTTTCCTTCTTATTGTTATTCAAATGCAGATGGAAAATTATGAACACAATACCAGATAAGAATAACACAGATAATACCCACACGTATATAATACAGAATGAACACATGGTATAACATTTGCAAATATGAAATTATCCCAAATCCCGACTATAAATACTATCTTATTATTCTACTAAATTCATCACTCAATTTTTCATCGTTTATACAGAGCAATTTGTATTTCAATTTTTTGGTTAGGCAGTTAGGCACCAAACTTTATAAAGTTGATTTTTTAAAGCTGACAAATTAAGAAAAGAATTACAAAAACACACCCTACTAAACTTTTATTTCTCTAATTGAATAAAATGTATGAGAGGCTGAGAGCCTTTATGATAATCCTAAGTTTGGATCCTTCATCAAGAAACATTTAAATACTTATTTAAATCCTTCATAAGCCTATACATAACTCAAGAAAATTATTTCGAAAAACTCAAGAAAATTAAAATATTAGTGTAGATTCATGAAATCACCGTATTTAGATTAATTTATGCTTCAATTTGGTTGGATGTACGAGTGAAGGAAAAGTTACAGATCTGGCTCGGGAAAAACATAAAAAAATTGAAAAAAGAAACAAATATGTAACCATTGCTACCTTCGTTTGTAAATCATAACAAATATTCTTGGACAAAAACCAGGCGTAAAATACTAAATACTTTATATCGTTAATGCATAAAGTCATAAACTTAATAACAAAATACATATAGATTACTTTGAGGTTGACTAATTTTACATAAACCACTAATTTATTTTTATTGAAGCAACCATATACGGTGATGCATGCAATAAAATCAAATCAAGCTTATAGATCTAACATAGAAAAGAAAAAATTGAAAAGGAGGAATGTAACAGATGGAACAACTAAGTTTCACTTTCTAAAATTGCGAAATTTACCTCTTCATGTAAGATTTGTCCGGCTGCCCAAAGTATCAAAATCGGCTATTGTCAAGAACTACTCCGCTAATTAGAGGGGAGAAAGTCGGGAAACGGGTGCCATCTGATGGGGTGCTACTACGCCCAATCTTTCTGACCGGAGAAGAAAATGTAAGAAATGTGGTTTGTGGAGTTGGAATGTTTGTAATGGAGGAGGCCAGAGGTGAATGAGCACGAAAAGAGAGTGAGAAAGGGGAATGGGAAATGGAACGGAAGGCAGTTCTTATATAGTGCATAGGGGTATAGGGGTGTACGTACATCCGTCAGAAGTAAGAAAGACGGCCCAAACACTTGATGGAGTATATGGGTCTAGGCCCCAGGACCCACATACTCAGAAGAACATAAAGTACAAGTCACTACGCAGTGCCCTCGTCGACCAAAGGACCCTCGTCGGCCGAAGAGGGACCGACTCAGAATATGATCTTGAAGTCAGGGAACCAGGGTGTCCTCATCGGCCGTGCCCTCGTCGGCCAGACCCTCGTTGGCCACGGAAGTCTCGCAGAACTAGATTTTACACTTATTCATTTATATATCCCATCATTTACTTTGTATTCGGCCCAATAGCGCTCCAGTTGTAAATGGGCCTCCCAAGCCCAAGGCTTGGGAGCCCAGCCCGTATTTTTCCTATAAATACTTCCTCTAGAGGTAGTTGTAGGGGTTACAAAATCATTCTATTGAAGCATTTACTTGCACTTCTCTCTCTAGCTCTCACTTCTCTCTAGATATATACTCTATCATTTTGTGGTGCTCTCGTTGAGAGCCTAGAACAATAGTGTTAGCACCCTTCGTCGCTACCAAGCACCGTTAACCACTGATCATGGGAGGAACAAAGTCAAACCGCAACCTCGTCAGCAAGGCCATCTCTGAGGACCAGGAGACCAGGGAGCGTGAGGAGGACGCCACGGCCGACCAGGTCGGAGGAGGGGACGTCTTCCAGGAGGCCATCAACCTCACGACGGACCTCCGCAACCAACTCAACGGCGGAGCCCCCGATGCCCGCATCGGCCTGGACAAAAAGCGTGCAGAGAAGACAGACCACGCCCCGGCCCAGCCTATGGCCACGGCTTCTCTGTCTGTGGACTTACAGGTTCAGGCCGCATTGTCGGTCATCATCTCCAGCTTGGCCCAGAACCCTACCGTCCTCAGCACTTTCTTGCCAAGGACTGGGGGGAACGTCACCCCACCTCCTCAGCCCCCACTGTTGGCCACCGGGTTAGGCAACGATGAGGGGGTGATAGCCCGGGACACGACGTCGTCCCACTCCCACCCCGCTTCCCCTCTTCGGCCTGGGCAGACCCCAGCGCGTGGAAAAGCCTCCGCCTTCAATAGGCTAGGTGACACGCGTCGTCGTCCGGTTTCGGAGAGGATGGCAAGGCGGATTGGTGAGCGTCAGCCTGGCTCGCCAAGAGAAAGCTTGGGGTCTGTGTCCCGGACGGCGGACCAGCCCCGTCTGGACAAGGGCAAGGGAAAGTTGCACGAGGACGACGTGCGCCACCAGATCAACGCGACCCACGACGAGCGCATGAAGAACCAGCAGGGCGCCGTTGCAGTCGCCAGGGATCATCGGGACGAGGTTATCGCCCAGCTGGAAAGGAGGTTGGCCCAGATGGAGGCCAGGCAATCGGCAAACATCCCCACGGCCGGCGCCTCCAACGATCCTGGCCTCAACGCTCTCATGAACAAGGTCAGCGCCCTTGAGAGGGAGTTGGCCGAAGGACGGGTGACCCCGTCATCCAGGCCAGGACCAGGACCCCTTTCACTAATAGGGTGCTCTCGGCCCCCATCTCGGAGAAGTACAGGGGAAACGCCAGGAGCATTTCAACCGCTATCAGAACAACATGCTGATGATGAACGCGTCGGATGAATATCTCTGCAGTTGGTTCCTCTCCACTCTTGAGGGGCCGGCGTACGAGTGGTTCAACGCGCTTCCCGAAGGAAGTATTGACTCATGGCAGAACCTTGCCCAGCGCTTCCTCACCCACTTTGCCGGGAGGAAGCATGTGAAGAAGTATTTCACCCATCTCCTCTCCGTCAAGCAGCAACATGATGAACCCCTCCAGCCATTCATTGATCGGTGGACGAGGGAGACCGAAGAGGTCGAGGGGGCCGATGAGCGCACCCTCCTCGTCCTATACCAGGGAGCCCTCCGCAGTTTCCCGTATGCCAGGAGCCTCATCACCGACCCTCCGAGGTCGTATGCAAAGGCGCTTCAGCGCGGGAGCTTGTACGCCGACGCCGACGAGCTCCACAACCACAAAAAAGATGGAGGCCATCCCTCCAAGAAGACAAATCCTTCGCCGGCCCCGGGAGCATCCCCGGCCAGTCAGGGTGCCCAGGGCCGTCACGGCTCTGGTGGACAAAGCAAGAAAGACCGCCATTGGCGGCCGAGGTTGGAACGGCTGGGGGTCCCCCCCACCCACCCGGTCAGCACCATCCTCGACTATGCCGAGAAGCATGACCTCATTGAACAAGCTCCTCGGCCGACCGAGAAGGTCCTTGTCATCCGCAGGGCGGCACATACTGCCGATTTCACAAGAACTCCTCACACAACACCGACGACTGCATCACGCTGAAGAAAGCCATCGAGCGCCTTATTCGTCAGGGGGAACTCTCCCAATTTGTTAAAGGTGGCCCGCGCAAAAACACGTGGGTAAACACCGGCAAACCTGGGGGCGAACCCTCTACGAAGAAGCGGGAGATCGGCAGGCTCAGCGACGACGAAGATTTTGAGGAGCCTCCGCCAAAGAAGAACCATATTCACCTCATCGTAGATGGGAATACCGGGGGGGACTCCGTCACCCAGAGGAAGAAATGGACCCAATCCCTTTACATTGGGGAGGTGTCCCACTTTCCCCCCCCCCCCCCCCCCCCCCCGAAGAAGCAGCGAACGGAGGCGATCACCTTCACCGACAAGGATCAGCCTCCGGGTACGGAATCACACAGGGACGCCCTCGTATATATAGTCCTAACATGCATTCAGATAATTAACAAATACTCCGTTTATATTATTGGGAAATTCAAAAGTCATTTTTGAACATTGTTTCTAATTATTATAACCTCCTTTTGTAATAATTGTGTTTTAGTACTCGGTATTCTAAAAGTCCCCTCCAGCATTGTTCGCAATTATTACTGTGTAGTACTCAGTATTAAAAGCTTTTTAGTATTATGTGCACCGTGTCTTCTACTCCCTCCGGTTCTTATTAAAGTTCCCACTTTCCTTTTTGGGATGTCCCTTATTTAAGTTCACACTTCCATTTTAGGAAACAAAACAATGCAAAACAGTGCCAAACAGTGCCAAACAGTGCACTCCACAGTAAAGTCAAATTCATTTTCTTAATATGTGTGAAGTCAAACTGGTAACTTTAATAAGAACCGGAGGGAGTATCATTTATGAAGCATCGTTTCAATAACTAATACGGAGTATATTCAAATGAATGAGAATAATCTAGAATCCATGACACACAACAATTACACTTTGAAGCGTTTGTAACATTCCCGCCCAAAATGGTGCTGCAATTATTCCGTTTATAATAATATATAGATTACAAAAAAACACTTATTTTACCAAACACTATTGACTTTTACTTTTTGAGAATCATTTTTTTTCAAATACTACTAACTTTTATTACTAGATTCGTCCCCTAAAACTTTGCCAAGTTTGAACGGCACGGAAAATAATAAAGTAAAAATTGTGTGATTGAAGTTTGTGCATAGGAGAGAGAAATAACAAGAACCACAAAATAATTGATTAAAAGGAAAAGTGACAAAGTTTTTGGGACGTTCCAAAAAAGGAAAGATGACAAAGTTTTAAGGGACGGATTGAGTATTAAGTGCTTTCTCCAAAATCACTTAAAATCACTTTTCTAAGATAGAAACAATTGCAACACTCCCATAATTTGGTAAAGTAGACAAACGGTGACTACCCGTGATTTCCTATTTGTGTGACGTTTTTTATTTGTGAAGGTAAGTTTTAGAAAAAATGACCCGGATATAACTAATGGACTTTTGATTTCCAAATATATGAGTCTTTTCAAATTTTCCAAAAAAGTGACCCATTCCATTACATTTCTTCATTATACGCACCCGCCTTCCCCTCTTCATTCTGCGCAAGGCATCAACGCCAGGGCTGCCATGGATGCAAGACACGAAGCTCCAACGCCAGACATGTCCTCTCCGTCGCCACTGCTCCAGCCGTCGTTGCTTCGTCGACGGTAATACCTCCGCCCTCTGCTTCATCGATGGTGCAACATCACCTACCTTCTCCATTGTCCTCACTGGCTGCCCCTCACACGAATGACGACTCCGATTTCAGGCCCCCGGTTCAGGATATGCCTTCCGCAATGGGCCACGACTCCGATTCGGAGTCACCGGTGCCACATCTGCCATCATCGATGGACGACGACCCCGGTTTGGGTTGCCGCTACCGACAGAGGTGCGTTATTGTTACTTTAGGTGCTTCGTGCTGGGGATCGAGATGTTGGCTGGGGAAGGAGACTTGCGGGATGGGGAGGTGAGTGGGGACTGAGGAGGTGGGTAGGGGCTGGGGAGGTAACTGGGGCTGGGGAGTCAAGGCCGAGATTGGGGCAGCGGTCGTCGTCGTCAGTCCCCAGTGATGGTTAGTGGAGGCGGTCCGCGGCAGCCCTAAGGCGGGGTTGGTTGAGGGGCCTATGAGGAGCAGGGGCGGATGGGCTGTGACACCGGAGACGATGTGTCACTGTGTCCGGAAATGACGTGTCATTCTAGACGGGCAATCACTGAGGTCGGTGGCAGTCACTGAGGCCGATGGGCGGTGGGCGGGCAGTCACTGAGGCCGGTGGGCGGTGGGTGGCCGAGCAGTCACTGAGGCTGGTGGGTGGTGGGTGGGCGGGCAGTCACTGAGGCCGGTGAGCGGCAGTCACTAAATGGGGCAACGGTAGTCACTGGACGGGGTGGCGGCGTAGTCACTGTGGCGGCGGGTCACTGTAGCGGCATGTCACTTTAACCGAAGTCAATTTGCACTGCAGGGTTAATTGTGATGTTAGGTCACATTATTGGAATTTTAAAAAAGATGTCACATTTTTGTCTTTTGTCTTTTTTAGTAATATCTAGGCCAAAAGGCTTAAGTTTTACTGATAGAGTATATAGACTCGGACCCCGGGTATCATGACTATTGGGCCCAGACAGTGGCCCGGACAGCGGCCCACATATGGTCAGTA